TTATTTTGTCAGCTGAGGAAGTAAGCATTCGGTATAGAAAACTACCCAGAGGCGAGTTCCTGGGCTGGATGGCAGGGGTCACAGCGGTGTGGTCAGCGGTCCCTCTGGCCCGGGTACTGCCTTGCAGCAGGGCTTTTGTGGTGGCTGACATGCTGTCAGGTGTGCCTTCCTTGCCTTGGAGTTCCCTGTCTAGCACCTACTCTGGACTCCTTTTCACCACCCGCTGCCTGGCAGTTCTGTACGGGACCTTCTCATTAGTGACCCTGGACTCCTGGCCTCATCTCCATCCTTCCCTGGCCTCCATCTCCATTCAGCTCCTCGGGCAGAAAGGGTGAAGGCCCAGAAACAGGCAGCGGTAGAACCTTCTGCTTTGGTGCTGTGGGGGGGTCCAGCACCATGTTACAGGTGAAGCCCTTCTGCGTGACCTGGGTTGTCATCAGCTACAACTCCTCTGAATTCTCAGGGTACAGTGGCAAGACAGCTTGAACGAGCTCCAGGTGCAGGTGCTTGGCAGGGATTTGAACTTCCTGTCCGCGTTACAGAGCTGTTCACGGCAGAGTGTGCATACGAGCACCACAGGACCTGTTCTGAGGCGATGCCATGGCCCATGTCTCCCAAACATAGGTCTCGTGCCCCACCAAGCATGGAAGGCCTGATGTTGATAGCCAACCCCATAGCGTTCCTTCTCTGGGAGGTGATCTCTACTCAGCCCAGGAGCTGCAGCTGATGAGGTGCCCTGGAACTTCTCCAGCCACCTTAGCCTGGGCACAAGTCCTCTGTGAGTTGTGACTGTATCTCTGGCCTTCCTTCTAGTGGGGGTGCACTGCACTCAGGACTCCAACAGCGGCTCACCATCCTCATTCCTCCACTTAAAAGTTTTCAACTTAAAAATTCAGTTTGTGTTACAGTAGCCACATGGCAAAGGCTCAGTGGCCCCTCGTGGCTAGTGGTGACTGTATTGGGTAGAGCAGATATAAAACGTGATGTCATTGCTGAAACTTCTCTTGGACACTGCTTCTCTAGCTAAGGCAGCTTCATCTCAGGATGCTTGCCTTGGCCCTGGCTAAGCATGGGGCTAACCTTGGCCTTCCTTGACACCTTGGCCTGGCTGCCTTATTACAGGGCCCAACCTGCAAGCAGCTTGTGTTTAGTAAGCCTACACTCTGCTGGTGGGGTCCTCTGAGGTCAAGTGCTTCAGGAGCTAGCCTCAGGAAGAATCAGATGAATTGTTGGACTTACAGAAAATAGTGGATACTGATCCGGCTTTCCGTGGGGTGATTCTTCCTAGGTGGGAGTGTGTCTGCAAAGCTGCAGGCATCTGACCAGCTCTCTGGTTTTCCATTCTTTTTTGTGGGATGATGGCCATGGAAGAGGGCCCAGGGCCTGTCCAACCTACCCCAATTTAGAATTGCAAAAACTGCACTTCAAGGTGAATGATTGCCGGAGTTCTGCCATAACCCAGGAAACAGAGACGGGCTTAAGCACATCTGTCTTCTGAAAGTCCTGGTATTTTTAGCTGCCGATAGTTTAAAGCAGATTTAAATGCACAGTGGGTAATGATAACTTTCACAGCTGAGCGATCTTGGAGGACATCTGCTCTCATGCTATTCAAACACCCGCTCTCACCGGTTCAGTGTGTTTATTTTTCTTGTGATAAGTGGTGGAGGGAGAGGGCAAAGATTTCAAGAGGCCTCATAAAGCAATTAAAGTGGGTGGGAGCCCAGGTCCTTCCCTTGATGGGAAGGTTAGTTATCTAGTGGAATCTTCTAGGTGGTCCGGACCCATGTGCCCTGTGGTGAAGGGGTCACAGAGGGGCTGCAGGCCTCCAGGTCCCCTCATCTGCTTGTTCTCCTAGTGCGGTTAGACTGGTTGGGCTTAGCGTCTGCCCACACAATGCTGCTTGGAAAGAGCTCTCCCAGTGATAGAGACTCCTGCCAAGTCTTTTCGGTTGAGTGGGCCAGCTCTTCCTGTTAGAGAGTTCTTACCTGAACTCCTAGGTGGCCTCTTTGTTCCTGTCACTCACTGGCCCCTGGGCAGCGTGTCTCCTGTGTCTCCTCCTGATAGCTGCTTGCCATGGGCCTCAGTTGCTTCAGCTCTCACTGAGCATGATAATAGGACCTGTCTTGCAGGACTGTTAGATTTAGAGGGGTTAATAATGTGGGAAGCTCTAACAAGTCAGTAAAGTTAGCAGTTGCCATTCTTTCTGTTTTTCCTGGTCTTTTCTCCCGAGCTGTCCTGAGCAGGGTGTGGGGGCAACTCCCCCTAGACACGAAAGTGCAGAGGGGGAGGAAGGTCTCTCTGACCCTGGAAGGAGGGAGTGGCCCACGCTGTGGAAGCAGTGAGGCAGAGGGAACAGAGTGGACCAGGTCCCTGGAGCGTGCTCTGACTCCTTCTCTTGCCAGGGAGGTATTCTTGGCAAGCTAGGGAGCCTCTCTGAGCCTGGGTTGTGCCAGACAGGAAATGGGAGGGTAGGTACACACTTCAGAGTCATCAGGGAAGTTAAGATGAGACTGCAGGCAAAGGGCTCGGTGCAGGTCGCTGTAGGCACTCCATAAATAATTCCCCTGCCCTCCTGTCTGCAGGAGCCCTGGGTTAGATGAAGTCTCTCCTACCTTCCATTTAGCCCATCAATGTTTTCTAGGGTGGGTTTGTCAGGTATCTGGGACAGAATGGGTTCCAGTGATTGGGAGGTGGTGCAGGAAGCATCTAAGAATAGTTTCTGTGGTCTAACCACTAAGCGAACTACCCCTATCCTAAGCCTCAGCCCATTGGCTTGATAACTTTAATAAAGCCATTGGGCCTATCTATCCACACTGGCCTTGGAGCTTCTGCTGTGAGTGCCCCTGCCTGTCCTGGTGTCACCTCATTGCTTCAGTGTTCTCCCACTGCCTGCAGCCCCGGGGTAGGCTACAAGTGCTTCAGTTCTCCCCATTTTTCACCTCATCACTCAGAATCGATGGGTCACGTGTTTTAAGAAAATGTTATTTTTACCAGGCCCAGTGGTACACACCTGTAAATCCCAGTAATTTCAGAGGCTGAGGCAAAAGCATTGCAAGTTCGAGGCCAGCCTCAGCAACTTAGCGAGGTCCCAAGGAACTTTTAGCAAGACCTTATCCCAAAATAGAAAGGGCCAGGGATGTAGTTCAAGGATAAAGCACCCCCCTGGCTTCAATCCCCAAATAAAAAAAAAAAGTATTCTTTTTTAATAAAATATAGGTTCTTTGAAGGAAAAAAAGCACACGTTTTTATTTATTTCCCTTTAGTTAGCAACTTGCTTCGTAGTTTTTGTTTCCGGTTGATTTGTTTTGTCTGCAGTACTGGGTGACAATACTGAGCCACATCCCCAACCCTTTGCATTTTGAGATAGGGTCTCGATAAATTGCTACGGCTGACCTCAAACTTACAGTTCTCTTGCTTTAGCCTCCTGAGTAGCAGTGATTGCAGACCGCACCACTGAACACCCAGCTTGCCTTATATTTTAAGATCTCCTAAGGCACAAATACCTAAATAATCATGAGGAATTACTGAGAAACACGAGTGCAGTTAGATAGAGTCAAAAATGCTTGTCTTTTCCTGGCAAGGAAAAAGGAAGTAGGAAAGTGGATGGGGCCGGGAGCCAGGGAGCAAGACTTTGCACATGCGGTATTTTTCCTGTGTTGTCAAAGGTTGGCAAACATTTTCCATAAGGGCCAGATAGAAGATGTCTAAGCGTTGTGGACCTTGGACTCTGGGGCTCTATCGTGACTTCGCATGTGCTGTGGCAGCACAAACAACCACAGGCAGTGTGTGGATGAGGGGGGTGACTGTGTTGCCTGGGGATCAGTGTTTGCAAACACTAGCAGTTAGGGCTGGGGTTGTAGCTCTATGGCAGAGTGTTTGCCTTGCATATGTGAGGCACTGGGTTGGATCCTCAGCACCACATAAAAATAAAATAAAGGTATTATGTCCATCTACAACTAAAAAAAAAAATTGGAAAACTTAAAAAACAAAAACAAAACACTAGCAGTTGGCTCTTAGGTTGCCAACCCCCAAACCAGATTATCAACTTTGGAAGAGGAGGGCTCGTGTCTGATTTGTCCTGTGTCTGTCAGGCATGCAGAGATCGAATGTTACATGAGTCTTTGTTTAGAGATTATTAAATGAAACAAAACACCGAAACTCCAGCTGCACTTATGTGGACCTGGTCGATTTCCATACCATACCAAGAGAATTCCTGTGTGTAGCTACCAAAGGATGCGTACCACAGTGTGTGTCCCTAGTGGCAACACTTGTAATGGCCCCAAGCTGCAACTTACTCCAGTGCCCACTGACAGAAGAAAGAATAAATTACAGTACTCTCAGACAATGGAATGTGATGCAAATTAAAATAAGTACGCTATGTGTAAAAATATGAATGAATTTCACAACCGTGGTGTGGAATTGAGACAAAGAATCCAGATGTACAAGACTGGATTCCATATGATTCCATTCATAGAATAGTTTTAAACTTATTTATTTTTTTATTGGTACCAGGGGGGCTTAACCACTGAGCCACATCCCAGCCCTTTTTTAAACATTTTGAGACCGAGTCTGGATAAGTTGCTTAGGGCCTTGCTAAGTTGCTAAGGCTGGCTCTGAACTTGGGCTCCTCCTGCCTCAGCCTCCCCAGCCACTGGGGTTACAGGTGTTCACTGCTATACCCAGCACATAGAATAGTTAAAGACAGGTAACAGGAGTCAATGCTGTGAGAGGTGAGAGTGGAGGAGAGCTGGCAGAGGGCTCTCTCTATGGCTCAGGTTGCACTGATTCTGGATCAGGGTTTGGCTAGATGGTGTGTTCAGTTTGTGAAAATTCATCAAATTATCCACGTAGGATTTGTATACTTTTCTGTGTGTGATAATTGGACAAAGCATTCAGTTTTAATAAAAAGAACTCAAAAGGCCAAGTAGTTTGTCAAACAGACTTTAAGCACGGACTACTCTCAACCATTCTGATTTCTGCCTGATGGATACGACTGCACTGCGCTTCGTCCCCACCTGTGGGCTCCTTGTCCTGTAAGTGGGATATAGAGGCTGCTGTTTCCTCCTTCACCCTCCCCTCACCCTTTGTGCAGGAGAAGCAGGGCTGAGCATTTTGAGGTGGATCCAGTGTCTCCACTGTCCCCCTCTGCAGCCTCATCTGCAGGGATGTTCTAACAGCAGCCTGGCTTTGTTGTGTCCTTTGCAGAACATTGTGGCCGTGGGAGCTGGGTTCTGCGATGGCCTCCTCTGTGGAGACAACACCAAAGCCGCCGTCATCCGCCTCGG